TTATTATCGTAAATAAATGTAGTACTGGTGCTTATATTCAATATTTTTATATTATGTATTATCGGTATAGGATGAGGTGTACTTTTAAAAAAACTTTGTGCGATCGGACTGTACTAAATTGTAGCAGGTAGCTAAAATTTAATCCCCGACAATCCGTCTTTGTCTATGCCGCTTCAATTTCTCGGTCCATTTCTCTTATAAGTAAACAATATAAAAACAGCATTTCAAAACATGAGGCTACTTTAAGCATCATAACCGGGTTAAGAGGGTTTTTAGTAATTCAAATAAAATTATTCAATATTATTATCAAAATATTTATTTAAATTTAATGAATAGACTTTTATTCCACACAAAAATATATGTATTTTGAAAATTCAAATTATGGTGAGTAAATGTAGTGTTGTATAAATGTACAATAAAGAAAATAAAAAAGTAGGTATATTAAAATTCATCCTCTGAATATTCTGATGAATTATCTTCGTCTCCTAGATTGATAACGATAGGTTCCACAGTAACGTCAATTAAATTATCGAGTTCCCACATTTTCTCCTCTTCTTTTTGTACATGATGTATACATCTTTGCCAGTTATCTGCAGTTACTCGTTCCAAGGAATTTTTTAACAAAATTTTCACGTCACTTAATTTAAACGTCGTATTATTTCGCGCTACATCTCCTTTTACCTGCGCCCAGACTAATTCGATTGGGTTAAGTTCACAGTGATAAGGTGGTAACCGTAGTACCGTTATTTGGCGATTTGTTGCCATTTCATCGATAACATATTTTTTCTGATCTTTATTAAGATTGACAAGTGTCAAAAGTTCCTTTTTCACCATATTTGTTTCAAAAGAAATGTTTTTTCCGGATAACCATTGAATTATATCGGCTTTCCTCCAAGCAGTCGTAGGCGTCCGCTCGGTCTGCCGTGAATGGTAACTGGCATTATCCATGACAATTACAGACCCCGGAGGAATAAGATCCAACATCTGTGTAAAATACTCTTCGAAAACATCTGCGTTCATGTCTTCGTGATAGTCACCTGTATTTTTAGATTCAAATAAAAGTAAACCGCCATCTACAAAACCACTGGCACTACCTATATGTGTCACTATTAATCTTCGCCCTTTACCTGAAGGTGCCTTGAACCCTGTTGAAAGTCCATCCAAAAATGCTTGTCGAAAACTTTTTACATTTTTATCTTGCCATACTTTTGTTACAGTATATCCCTCGTTGACCCAAGTTTCGTCTAGATAATAAATATTCCTCCCTTCGTCACGGAATTTTCTAATTGATCTTAAGTAGGATCTTCGCCAACAAATAATTTCATCTTTATCGATAAGAACTGACTTCCTGTTCTGCTTTTCCCAGCAAAAATTCAACTCTCGTAAGACGGCCCATAATTTGCTTCTACTGATTTTTGGCAAATCGTTGTCCTCTGAAAGTTCACTTAAAATTTTGTTTAGCGTTGGTATTTCTTTTTTAAAATAAAATGAGTGTACTTTTCTGCGAATGACATTTTTGAAGAAATCATCTATAACGACTTTTGACCTCCCTGTAGATGATTTTGGGGGATTTACAGTATCTTGTTCATTTTTTGTTTCCTTTAAAAGTCTGTAGATAGTCGATTTTCCAATCCCTGTCATTTTTGTTAGCATTAGTGTTACCCGATAATTACCTGAAACGAAATATTACCACGCCCATGGCCGGTTCTTATCTCGGGGTTTTATTACTCTATTTCATTTCCAAACAGACTATAAAACAGAATATCCAGTGTGTAATGCGTCTTACCGCAGTTCCAGTTCCATCATTTTAATACTTTGGCATAAATTAATTGTATTGCGCATTAGAACTGCATAAAGATTAAATAAATATAGTGTTGCATAGGAAACTGATTCCAATAAGCACCTGCAAACCAGCAAGTTCGGATGGTACGCGAAGTGCCCCAACCGTGCAGGTGTTTAAAAGTAGTTTTCAGTAACACATTAGAGCTTTTCAGTGTAGAGTTATGACGTACATCGGTTAGTTTTTCATTCGTAATGTTTAACACCGTGATTTATATACTAGTATCGCCATTTTATGCCCGTTAAATCGCTTTTGTAGTCGCATGATTTACAGCCATATCAACTCAATATGAAAACGGATTTTCTATATACGGGCGAGGGCGATCATGTCGCTTTTGTATACCTATACGGCTTCTCTACTATAAATCCTTTATCTAACCATTTAAATCCATAAAATTATAGCCGTAGCGGCGTTTGGAAGGGAGGAAGCTAAACACAAACAACTTGAAATACCATGTACTCTAAACAAAGTCAATGTGCAATTGACTAAGAATACTCAGGTAATATTTTGTTCCGTGAGAACGGCCAGCCTATGTCTATGTGAACCTGGCACCCGACTTTTAAAAATTCAAAATTTTTTTAAAATTCTTATAGATTTTCGTTTGTAGTTGTTTGTAGTAACAATATTTTCGTTTGTAGTAGCTCAAGAAAAAAGTTATATGGCCTATAAAAAAACCCATCCCCCCAATTTAACCGCACTTAAATCTGATGGTTGATTCCTATAGAAAATCGTTTGTAGTAGATTGTAGTGAACGAATTTTCGTTTATAGTAGCAAGGAAAAAACGTTAGAGCTACTTTAAAAATTTGCCATGGGTAAATTTAGAAAGCGCTTCTAATTTCAAGTTTATTTGTGTATAATAACTTCTATACGTCAAATTATGTTTTTAAATTTGTTTAAAGTTGTTTGTAGTTGCACATATTTCGTTTGTAATTCGGCGAAAACTAACTAAAAGTCACTACATTCCAAACTGTCGCTCCAAAATCGTTTGTAGTTCTTTGTACTAGCGTTTATTTCATTTGTAGTTGCTTGAAAACTGACGAAGTCACTAAACTCCAAGCTCTGGCTTTAAAATCGTTTGTATAAGCGTTTATTTCGTTTGTAGTTCTTCAAAAACTGACGAAAAGTTATTAAACTCCAAGTTCCGGGTTTAAAATTGTTTGTAGTTGTTTGTAGTAACGTTTATTTCGTTTGTAGTTACATGAAATCTGACTAAAAGTCACTAAACTGCAAGCTCTGGCTTTAAAATCGTTTGTAGTTGTTTGTAGTAGTCGAAAAGTCACCAAACTCCAAGCTCTGGCTTTAAAATCGTTTGCAGTTGTTTGTAGTAGCGTCTATTTCGTTTATAGTTACATGAAAACTGACGAAAAGTCACTAACCTCCAAGCTCTGGCTTTAAAATCGTTTGTAGTTGTTTGTAGTAGCGTTTATTTCGTTTGAAGGTCTTCGAAAACTGACGAAATTTCTCCAAACTCGAAGCTCTGGCTTTAAAACTGTTTGTATTGGAAATCCAATTGGTAAAAACAGTGCCCCTCCATATCTTTTTAATCGTTGAAAATATCGAAAAACTAACTCTGGCGTCACTCTAGCATTTCGTTCGAGGATCCCAGCAAACCAAACCGCACCCTTCTAAGTCGAAAAATAAAAATTTTGCGGTTTGTTGGCCAATTTCAAAAGCCACGTGACTTAAAACGTGACCTAACAAAGCCCCGCCGTATCTTATTGATCCTTGAAAATATCGAAAAACTAACTCTGGCGTCCCTCTAGCATATCGTTCGAGAATTTCAGCAAACCAAACCGCACCCTTCTAGGTCGAAAAATAAAAATTTTAGGGGCTGTTCGCCAATTTCAAAAGTCACGTGACTTAAAACGTGACCTAACAAAGCCCCTCCATATCTTTTTAATCGTTGAAAATATCGAAAAACTATCTCTGGCGTCCCTCTAGNAGTAGCGTTTATTTTGTTTGTAGTTCTCCGAAAACTGTTGAAGAATTACTAAACTCCAAGCTCTGAATTCTTTCAAGTAACTGCTGACTTGAACATGGTAGACAAGCTGCTCCATATGTCCCCATGAGTGAAAGTCCGAAGGATTTAGATCTGGAGAACGCGGCGACCATACTGTTAGACCTTGCTGATCTATCCATTTATTCGGGATATGATCATTTAACCAAGCAGTTACTTGTCTCCCTTCACATGGTGGTGCACCATCGTGCTGATACCACATTTTGAACAATATTAAGCCCTACGTTATCAATGAAATCAAAAAGGTTATTTTCCAAGACAGTTCTATACAGGTCTGCATTTAAACGATCGTATAGAGGCTGCTAAATTATCGTTGGAAATGCTACCCCAAACGTTGACACTGAAACGTTGCTGAAATGGTCTTGATCTATTTGCATGCGAATTTTGTAGTCACTATAATCCGACAACTTATTGCGAGTTTATTATTGAAAATACAAAAAAGTTTTTATTACAGAAGGTTTAGCTTTTTTCATGATTTTTTATAATACAGTATTAGAAGAAAAAATGAATCTTGGAAATCGCTAAATTAAAGATTTTTCCATAGCCACTGCGATGCGTCAGATATAAACGTCCCTCCTGTTTTTCCAAAAATAGTTTTAAACTGAAATAGGTATGTCGAAAAGTAACATATTCTATATTTTTGAAAAGAGAAAAATTTAACGAAGCACTAATATAGATATAGGGTATTCCATTAAAAAAATATATTTTCTTTAATTTAGTGATTTCCATTATTCAATTGTTTTTTCTAATACTGTAATATAAAAATTCATAAAAAAGCTAAAACTTTTGTATTAAATTTTTTTTGTGATTTTAATAATAAACTCACAATAAGTTGTCAGGTTATAGTGACTAACCCTGTACATTTTAGCAGTGAGACGAATGTAACACGTCAATACAAAACTACTACTACTTTGATTGAAATATGAAATTATATATTTTTTAAATGCTTGTAACTTCTAAACAAAAACGAATTGGACATATGTTGATATAAGAAAAAATGTTCGAAATTAATCCAGCTAGCATCTGCCAAAGTTTGTTATAGAGCTTGTAGAACACCCTGTATATTAACTTCTAAATATTTTTTCCTTTCAATGCCAATATTTAATAATATTAAATAATTTAATATTTAATTGAAAACTCACCTATGATTGCACTGTTGGCAGGCGAAGCATTCGAGGTGGTACACGTTACTTCTTGCCCTCATGACCATTTCGAAGGCCGGTATCACTTTCGAGCAAGCTGCACAGTAACCGGTGTTGCCGAAAAGTCTTAAGTAGTCCCTTTTGCACAGAATTAAATTAGCTTTAGTATACAGGGTCGAACCGACTTCACCTAACCGACAATCACAGCAGCCGCATTTTAAACAGTCCTCGTGCCAGAACATGTCCAGGGCCTTGAGGAGGTAACGCTCCGTGATGGGTTTGCAGCAGCCAGCGCATTCTTGGGGAGCCTGACCTGGAGTGGGCTTCGCAGCCTCTGTCTTGGATACGTCCATCGTCATCATAGGGCCGTTAGGCCTCGACTTTATCTGAAATGGAAAAGATAAATAAAGTATAACATATTTCCCAGCTAACTCCTCAAAGTACACGAAATATTTGCACAGAAAAATACACATTGCCTCATTTAAGATGGGTTCTTCCATAGCTCTGGTGTGTCAGTGTAGTGTTTCAAATAAAAGTTTCAACAAATCGCATTTTTAAATTATTTTTTATTATACAGGGTGTCTTGTTCTGGACATTACCTGACTTCATTCTTCAAACTCCCTGTATATTATTTAATTTTCTTAAACTTTTGTCGAATTTGGAACGTACTTTGGTGTTATTTGATGTTCTTTTTTTTAATTGGCATTTGCAGATTTTCAAAAATATCTAAACTTCCAAGAGAAGATAGTGCCTTCTTTTCAAATGTAACGTACATCTTTCGATATTTTCAACGGTTAAAAAGATATGGAGGGGCTTTTTTAGGTCACATTTTAAGTCACGTGACTTTTGAAATTGGCGAAGTCCGTAAAATTTTTATTTTTCGACTTAGAAGGATGCGATGCGGTTTGATTTGTTGGAATTGTCGGACGAAAGCTAGAGGGACGCCAGACTTAATTTTTCGATATTTTCAAGGGTTAAAAAGATATGAAGGGACTTTGCTAGGTCATGTTTTATGTCACGTGACTTTTGAAATTGGCGAACACCCAGTAACTTCTTTATTTCTCAACTTAGAAGGGTGCAGTTTGGTTAGCTATCTTTGGACGAAATGCTAGTGCGACGCTAGAGTTAGTTTTTCGATATTTTCAACGATTATAAAGATACGGAGGGGCTTTGTTAATGTGGAAGAACGCTGGACAATTCCGTCCTTGTTTCAATCATATTTTAACTTTATTTTAATTATACGCACGCCGTCTGAGCGAATGAATCATAAGAATTCTTATAACATCAATAAATTTTAACTCATTTATTTTATTTTCATTTGCTATTTATTTTCCCAATAAATTTTCTAACTTCTATTTACAACTTTTATTTTAAATCAAAACATATTCATATAAATATTTGACTTCTGCCTGAAAAAATAATTCTTCTCTTAAATATAGGACAGACTTTTCCTAAGTTCATTAACTGGAGCTAATTGATTAGTTGGTAGGTACATCTAAAAAAATTACGACTGCGTAGAGGAATGATTATCTGTCTCTCCAATATGACTTAAAATATTGCATGCATATTGAAACAGTGTAACATTACTATTTTTTCGTATAAAATCGCAATAATTCGAAGTAGACCCGCCAGTCATTATTCACCTATGTTTTGTTTTTGTTTAAATAGATGTGTATTTAATTTTTATAAACTAAATAGTAGATAATCAGTGCAGTGGTACATTTAAAAAAAAATCTGTTTCAATACGATACTTTTGAAGATATATGCAATAAAATTTTTTTATATCTATAATTAAATTTAACACACTGCATCATGGAAACAAACGACAGCATTCATAAGAAAAATCAACTTACTTTTTAACATTCAATCACACTATCAATGTAAGATTACGGTACGTTCTTACTAAATCGCCCTGTATAAATAACTTTATTTTTAACTTATATGATGCCTTCCATTGTATCAATCTAGACCTCGCATTAGTACGTAAATCGGAGACACCACAAACCGCAATCAATATAAGTATGTTTACGAGTTATTATTTCTTCCTGGATACAGAATTAAATGTTTCAGGGAAAAGAAATACATTGAGAAAACCATAAAGAACGATTTCGGACAAAAATATGAATGTATGTGGAAGTGGATTGAATTCTTTTTACTTGATTACAGCAGTCAATTTGGATAATGGGCAGATGTTTGATATATGCAGGGCGTTTTAAGTGTATTACAGAATAGATAGTGATAGGACGCAGTAGTATTGATGACGACGTCCAGTTTCAGTGGCGGCGTCTTAAGGGACGATATAGGTGAACTAACTAGCCGTAGTTTTGACACAAACGACGCACAGTGGCCCTATCGATTTCGATAATTATGTTAATATTAAACTACTTACGGTTTCCTTCGAAATAATCTGTTTTTGTAATAATCAGCTGGAATTTATAATATTTGTCGGTGTCGGTTGAAACGAATGTTACTTTAAAAGTTATAACTTGCTTACTTGCCTTTGGTAGTCGTCAGTTGTCCGAAAAGTAGATCAATATTCATATTCATTCTACGTGAGTATAGAATATACGTATACAGGGTGATTTATCCGAGGAGGTGAAAAAATTAAGAGTCTGATCCAATTTTAATCAAAAATGACGCACGGTTGACCGACTTCAAAGATACATTGCAAATTTTACATTAGGTTATGTACACAAAATCATTTAATCAGCGTAAGGGTTATATAAATAAAAAATAATCCACTGCCAGCCACAGAGCATACTTCGATGTCGAATCAATCAATTAGCAACTGCAGCAAGGTCTTCAATAATTTGAATTTGACATGCAGCATTCATAATTCTGCTCCAACATTCATAATCCAGTGGATTAAGATCTGGCGCTCTAGCAGTCCACTGGGCCGCGTCCACTTATCCCCCTTTCATTAAAATGGTGGTCTAACCATTTTACCACATCTCTTGCAGCATGTGACGGAGCCCCATCGTGTTGATACCACATCATGTTGCGCAGAGCAAGTGGACAACTCGTATAATAATTGAGCCAGAATATAAACGATGTTAGAGAATTTGTATTGGTAGTGGACGGACATTGAAAGCGACCACCACACGTTAAGTGAAAATCTTTGTTCAAAATTGAGTCTTTTAAATGCGTGTTATTTTGTATTTACCATTGTGATAGTTATCAATAGGCTTAGTGAGGCACGGGGTTTAACAGGACCGTAGTCAGATTACGAATGAAAATATTAATATGTTTACAGAAAATATGTCGCAACTATTACAAAAGAGCAAGGCTAAATAGAGAATTAGAGAATTCGTGTGGACCGAGAAGCCATCGCGAAAATTTAGATGAGTATATCCGATAAAATTTACAAGAAAATATTTTAAGTAAGCGAGTACCATTTTTGTTACAATTGGTCTTCTCTACAAATTTGTATGTATTGTCATCTAACTCCAATTTTCACATTATGTCCTTTTTCTTAATAAATTCTTGAAGAAATTAGTTTTAGGTATTATTTTAATCTAACTTTACACTTAACTAACGATTAAAATAGGTTCTTAAACCTCAGATTTACTGAGATTTACTGGGAACGGAAGGTGGCTTGTGGCTTGTGTCTTGCGGAAATAGCGCCGTACCGCACTGGTCTGTCCAGTCCATTTTGTTATTACAATTCCTGTTATTCTTATTTCTAATAAAGTAATAGCCAATTCTTATTAGTTAAATTGTTCGGGCTGCCCACATAAACTAGAATTAGGAAAGTTTATCCTTAATAGATGTAGATTTTATCTACATCAAATCAGATACATAAAAATCGGTAATCGATTTAATGAAAATGGACGTGTAATAAATAAGCGGTCGAACTTTTTAGCACAGATGCTTCTAACAAACAGCACCTACATATATTTTAATAGAAGTCAATCGAAGCTTGTTGGATAAATTGTTTAAATTGTACCATGGAAATTTAAATCGTGCACCATTAGCTGAGTGTCGACAATTTAATTAATTGATACTGTGGGCAGAATTATTTTTTATATTAATCTCAAAGAGGTTTGGTATCTTTATAACGAACTGAGATAGTATAGTAAAAGGGATTGTATCCGCTGAATTTCTAAAAGGATTTCTTTTTTAATTCAGTTCCTATGATCTCTTGGATCATCACCATATTTCTCTGGATTTGGCTGAAGAAAATCGAGTTCGTTTTTTGTCGCCTTTTTTACCGTTTGCTAGTTAATTATCTCGAAAACGTTAAATTATCGACAAAAAGCTCATTCTCTCGCTGGGCCTCGTATTTACCTCTACCGATACTGGAATATTCAAAGGCATCACAGAAAATGGTTTAGAATCAACATTAATTATCCATAATACTCATTAACCCAGACCTGGTGTAGTCGCAAGTACCAAGAAAATTGAAATTTACTTAATAAATTGTGAACGACTAATTCAGTGATAAATAAAAGATTAAAGTCGTGCTTTACAACGGCCAAGGAGGCCTCTAAACAGGACCAAGACGATCGTATCTTGCAGTACATACTTCCAAAAATCTAATTTTCGCTATGATTTACATACTTTCCTAAGATATTTTTTTTCTGCATCAAAATAGTATCTGAAACACCATATAATAAACGGTTATGTTAAAGAAAGTTTATTCCATACAATAGTACAAGGAACTGTGATTTTATCACAAAGATAAAATTTTATTTCTTTTTACGAGACAAAATGAAACTAGCAACACTCGAGTTTTGTCAGTCAATAATGATATGATGGGACCAAAACTAATCAAAAAATTAATTTGATCAGTTATATGATTTTAATTGAACAAAGAATTCTTCAATATAAACGTGTTACTGCGAGTCTGTAAGCAGATTAAAGGAGTTGCCAGTTAATTTCAATTGATGTAATTTAATGCGTCTATCGTTAAATCCTTAAGGATAAGTGGGCAGGTTCAACTCCTCTGACTAGCTGAATTACAACTATATTCATAGAAAGGAAGTATGCAGCCACCTTGACAGGACGGCGCAATAAATAAAAGTTGGCGATGTTGACCAGGGAGACTGACAGTAACTGACATTTAACTATATTCCACTTATTAATACCTAACCGTTAACGCTTACCAACGCAAGTTATTCCACCACTGGTTACTACTCCAAGTTTTATCAATTTACGTAAATCATCAGTCATATTTGTAAAAAATTTTAATTTCAACATCCTGTATCTCGAAAACCAGTAGATTTAGGTTTCTTATTCATTGAGATTTAAAATGATTCAAGGAATACCTCCTTAAAGTTAATATATGTACCTAAAGAACATGCTGTACATGCAATTATTTTGCGCTTGTTTTTATTTATTTGTGTAAATAGTAAAGCTCCTTAAGATAATACAGATGCTAATCCGC